CCAAATTCCTGAGGCTCTGAAATTGCTTTTCTTTTTCTAAATTATCAAAGCCAAGCTCCTCAGTGTTGAATGTTTCCAGGCTGATTTTAGTAGAAACCTTATTAAAGGCAGAGTTTGCTCAAGCAGAAAAACAAGAAGAAATTGCCAGGATCCTGGTGGCTAACCATAATTGAGCTTCTATTCAGAGACTGAGAACATACCTGCACAGAACATACCAGGAATAGTTAGGAGAGTTAAACAGGAAAAATATGAGGAGACCTGCATGTCAACAAAAAATCACTGATGTGAAAACATGACATCCTGGGAACCGTTTCTTTTCATTCTCTTCCCTACCCTAGAACAAGAATCAAGTAAAGAACTGCAGGTACCACATCACATTTCCATATAAACTCTACTAACAACATCTTCCAACTGAATGTTACAAGCTGTTTCACAGAGGTGTCAAATATCTAGCTACCTCTGAGGTGGTAAATCTGAATCTGAGCAATATTACTATTGCTCTTCTGTTGTAGATAGAAGCTGAAAGTATGTGTTGTAAGACAGAGTTTTTCACAAAATCAAAAATATGCTAGTTTCCTATGCAGCAAACACATATCTCAAGAGGGGGGCATTTCACCATATGCATCCTGTTTACAATCTAAATTTTTGTAGCACAGATAAAAGGTGAGTTCCTCAGTTGGCATCCAACAAGGAATACCAGTGGCATCTTTTTAACTAGCAGCAACTGAGTGCTCTGCTTTATGCCATTTTATTTACACCAGCACACAAAGGCAGTAGGATTCTGGCCAATACACACAAAGAAACATCAATCAACAAATCCTGTCACACCAATTCAAGAAATCATTCATGGGGGGAAATCTGCTCAAGTAGATTTTTAACATTCATAACTGACCATATCCTCACCATTAGACATGGGGTATTCATACAGGTATTTGTATCCCTGGGGATACAAATAACAATATCGGCACCACAAATTCCTGGGAAAACTGGACCCACCCACCCCCAAACCGGCAGGTGCAATTAATGGTTGTTGCACAGTGCACAGGGTCAGCATTGTTTACATCACGCCAGTAGCAGAAGTAGCCCAGCCAGCACTTCCCCATCTCCCTGCGCAGGATGACGAATCTCCCTGCTCAGCTGTTGAGGGACACGAATACAAATATCACATGTCTACTCACTGCCTCTCCCCACACTTCCGACTTTTTGAACAGTTACTTCTGTCCAAGTGTCAGGGGTGTTATGTGAGGAAGCCATTCAGACTCACCTGACTGGAAAAACCGATTTCCCTTAGGTAGAGGGAAGGTGTTGGTTGTGATCACTTCAGCAGGCCTCTGAGGACCAGAGTATGACAGTTTCAAGGTGATGTGCTTTGACCAGCAGAGGGAGGCAATGGCTGGGGTGGACAGATTTAACAGGTTGTTGAGGGTGTCGGTGAGATGGCTGAAGTGTACGAGGAGGGAGCTTTGAAGCAGCCTCATCTACAGCCTAGTAGAAGGCACTATCTTTGTGGTGGTTACAATCAGATTCAATAAATGAAGAATGTAATAGGCAGATAGGTGAATGCAGAGCAAGATGTTGAGCGTGGCTTGGATGAGACTGGCAGAAAGTTGTGTGTCATAAGGGAATTCAATATAGCACCAATGAATTTGCTCCTTCTACTAAGAAGATGCAATTTTTCCTCTTTAATAAGTCCAAGAAGGGAAAGTTGAGCGATGGTGCAATGATAACATGTGGCAATCAGCCTTAGATGTCATGACAACCACCTGGCCATCAATGTAGGGACAGAAAGGGTAAACAGATGGGCAGCTATACTGGCCATGAACTTGTTGAAGACTGAAGGGGCAGTAGTGAAGCTTAAAGAAAGGATGTGGAAATGAGAGATGGAAAATCCAAGGATAAACCAGAGGAAGTGTCAGTGGTTGTGGTAGATGAAGATGTGAAAACAGGCATCTTGGAGGTCTACTGTAGCGAACTGGTCCTCTTCACAGAGAAAGGGAGGAGTCAAAGCTTAGAGGAGGCTTGGATGCCAACTGGTCTGAGAACTCATTTTACTCAGACACAGGGATGCTGCCAGTTTGTCTATTGGTAAATAGACTTTGGTTGCAGGAACTCTGTTGTCTGAGTCTTTGTTCCACTATAACTGGAGAACTGGGGGAGCTGGAGAAGATGCGCACTCTGCAATTATCCTTGACACAAAGTAGATAGCTGAAATGCCAGGAAACTGGCACATAACTGGGCCACTGGCAGTGGCAGCCTGAAACAAACTGAAGTAGACTGCAGAGGTTGATGCCTGTAGGGCTTTTTCCCAAGAGTAAACCCTTAGATGTACCTGACAGATTTGAAGAGGTTCTGGCTGTGGAGATATTTCTTCATGGTATGGCCTTCCCTGAAGTAAAATAAACTTTTAGAGTGCTTATCTGAATGTGAGATGTTGCTGTCACAAAATGCATTTCTTGAAAAGGACCTTCAATACTACAGCGCATGATGCACAGTATCAGAACAGAAATCTAAAGTCAGAGCTAAGAAATCAAGCAAAGTATTGAAGGAAAAATCAAGAAACAAGTCTGGAAGCAGGTCAAAACTGTTAAAAACAGGTAGATGAAGAATTATTTGACACCAAGAATGATTCTGAAGTTGCTGACTCCATAGTGGACAGAGAGAAACTGAGGGCAAGGTGGGAGCCCTGCGTATTTATCCTGCCAAGTAGTAGATGAGGCTCCCACTGAAATGCTTTCACTTTAGCTCCATGGCATTAGCACACATAGAGGACTAGGTCATATGTATAATAATGCACATACATCACTATGAAGAATAAAGCTGTTTAATAGTTAGGTGCCAAGTACTTAACTGCCACTACATGCAGGTCAAATCATAAAATCTGAAAAGAAGTAGCAGTAGAAGTCTCTTACCTTATTATCTTTATGGCGTAGTTCCAAAATTGACTGATACCACAGATGTCCCAAACAGGTACTTCTATTGTGGAATACAACAATGTAACCAAAAGAAGTCGAACTTCTTGTCTGTCATCCCAAGACCCCTGCCAGGCAACTGTACTTTTCTCAAAGTGCATGACTTCATAAATTTAATCTCTAGAGTAAATTTGATTATTACAAGAAATACCAAAGCAAGAACAAATAAAAGATTGTCATAATTATTATAATAAACCACATTAAACATCTGTTTTTGAAAATTTTGACATAGAACATAATTAAAAGAAAGTTATGTATTTATTTACCCCACAAACAGTTCTAATTTTGCCTGTGTGTTAAGATCCTGCAAAAGAAGCTGTTCTCCAAGTACTTCCTGAACATTAAGGAACAAAAGGCAGGTACTTCTCCTGTTTCTGTATGCTAGCTGTGTGGCACATGTACAATTTCATTTGCCCAAATGCTTTAAATTTCCACTCTTGCTATAGTGGCTACCTCACAATTGTTTCTGTGAATGTAATTTACTATTTTTATTGTACCTTGATTTTTAATTTCTGTTTATAGTCGTATTTATTGTACCCCTCTGTAGTATCGTTGCTCCGTATGTGTACAGGGAGCTACAGTTCAGGAACAAACCTTATTATTTACATATAAAATGCCCAGAGTTCAATTCCTGACATATTTAGTAAAGAGTCTTTCCAGCTGGCCTGGAAAGATTTTTGCATGACACCTACCATCTGTCAGAAATAAATGGTCTGTTATCATCTAAGTCAATTTCATATGCACTGTTGTAAACTATCATTTGATATATATTCCCTATGCAGTTCAATTATACGTACAGTACTAGTTCTCAGGTCACCATTGTGGGAGTATCTCTTAACAAAAGGACTTCCTTCAGTTCCTGGCTTGCATATTAATTTCTTTTACAAGGAGAGGTTTTAAACACTTCATGCCTTTATGTGGCTCCCTGCCCTCAAAGCAGGAAAACAAACAAATAAAAAACACAGACTGCAGTATACTCCTCCAATTACTTTGGGTTTAGCATGAGTTAAACGGATTCAAAATTTCTAAACTACACAATGTTATTGTAAGCACAGGGAAAACTCTCACTTTTCTTCAAGGAATCATTTTTTATGAGGAGTTTTTTTAACCAATTTTTGATTGTGTGAACGGCTGTGTCGTATTCTGTGTGTGAGGACATTCCCTGTGCTAATATCTTGGGGATGTGTTTGAGATGGTACAAGATGCTGTCTCACTGAGAAATCAGCCATTATGCTTGCTGTCCTTTTTTATTTTTAATAAACCATTTAATTATAGAACTGCATCACACAGGTACTAGAGTCTTTCTGTCTCAACAGTGCTATGACAAAAAAAAAAAAAAAAAAAAAAAAACCAACTCCAGACTAGGTGTTTATGGACAAGGTGAGAATGTAGGCGGAGTCAGAACAGAACCATGGGAAGAACAAAGTGCCAAACCCAGGACTATCCTAAGGCCAATTAAAGAGCAGTATAACTGTGCCAAATGAAACTGGTTCAATTGAGGGTACCACATGAAGACAGTGAAAGTGACACAAAGAATGTGCAATGAATCAATAGAAGAACACCTTGACACAAATTTCAGATTATTTGGGCAATGTAGTTGCACTCATAGTTTAGAGATTTAAAGTTTGCCAAACCCAGGACTATCCTAAGGCCAATTAAAGAGCAGTATAACTGTGCCAAATGAAACTGGTTCAATTGAGGGTACCACATGAAGACAGTGAAAGTGACACAAAGAATGTGCAATGAATCAATAGAAGAACACCTTGACACAAATTTCAGATTATTTGGGCAATGTAGTTGCACCCATAGTTTAGAGATTTAAAGTGTGCTTATGACCAAATCAGTTCTTTCACTGAGTTTTGGGATGCAGTCCTAGAGTTACAAATAGTGTATTACACAAATTATGGTCAAGACTTAATGCTCCAAACCAATAAGCCTATCTCTTCCCATGGAACAGATGTGCAATGTTAACTGAAGAGTGGCAGATTTCACCAGCAAACAGATCAAGAACATTGTTAGTACAAAGGATATGACCATCTTCTCAATAAATTTATCATGTGGATCTTCTATTTTGGGGAACTTCTTAATATCATTTTCCAAACGCTGTATCTGATGTTCCATGGAATCAAGGTTGCCCTTAAGACTTTGAGCTGAAACTGAGGGAAAACATGGGAAGAGAAACCACATTTAAATGTAGAGGGGGAAAAACATAAGAGAAATAATATTTGTGATGACAGTCAAGATAACTTCATTAAAATGTTCCCTCATTTTTCTGAATTAGTGCTCATAAAAGTTCTACTCTTCAAAAGTAAATGAGAATAGATATGAAATCATCATGCTTAATGTGGAAATGTCATCATTTACTCTGATATTAGTTGAAATTAATCTATTTCTATTCAAATTTATTGATAGAAATTCTAATATTTCATTCCTTCAAATCTAATTTATAGATAAAACATAAACTAAGGTTCAAAGAGATTCACAGTAATGCATATATAAATTATTATACATTATATATTCTATAAATTATTTAAAGACAGACTGTCTACTTCCGCTTCTTTTGCCTACAGCTTTAACACTTAAAATGGAGTTGGTGTCTATTCTAGAACAAAGACACAATAAATCCCAAATTCCACAAATGTTCCTGCAAAAATTATGCAACCAGCGGCATCTTTTGAAAAAGTTCAGTGTTAATTACATGTAGTTCTTTATTAATCATGTTGCTAAATGCGCCACAATAGAATGGAGACAAATTAGGGTATACAAAGTTGTACACAAATAGCAATTCTGACTTTAAGCATATACACAAGCACACACAGAATAAACCTGCAGCAGCTTATCCAGACAGATGCTGCCCAAGAAATATATTTTGCGATCATAGAAGATGCTCACTGAAAATGCTATTTCTCTGTTCTGCTACAGTGAGATAGCCGAATTTACAATGAGGATTTACAAATTTAGTGAAGGTGTTGAAACTAAAGCTGCAAATGTTAATGCCACTATCAATAATCTGAACACATGTCAGAATGTTTAGAGTGTTTTATACTGTTCTAGTCATTCCATCTCGGAAGGAAGGAAGGAAGAAGGGAAGGAAGGTGGGTGTTAGAAAAAGTACAAAAGGAAGATATTTATATCATATTCATATTCACATATCACATAATAGAACTTTCAGACTTGAAGTAAAATTTCTAGAACAAATACTGTAAAAGTGGCAATTTGCTGTCCAAACACACAATGATACTACCTAGTGTTCAGTTCTAGGTAGCTGGCTCAAAGTTCACTCAGCCTCCCTTCTTCCAAAGTCAGTAAAATGAGTCTTCAGCTTGCAGGGGGGTGAGGCAATGTCAGCCTGCATAATTAACTTGTAAACCACCTAGAGAGTGCTTTAAGTGCTATGGGGCAGTACAGTGGTGCCCTGCATAGCAACGTCCATCCATTCCTGATTAATCGTCGCTATCCGGAAACATCGCTAAACGGAACAAAAAAGCCCATAGAAACGCATTAAAACACAACTAATGCGTTCCTATGGGCTTAAAACTCACCGCTGAGCGAAGATCCTGCATAGGGGCGGCCATTTTTGGTGCCTCTAAAGCGAGGCAACACAGCTGGCAGCCATTTTGGAACCGCTGATCAGCTCAACCAAGGTACTGAGGGCTCACAAAAGACAGATTAAGAACCTTTGAGTTAATCACTTCTCACCCAAACACAAAGCCACTGTCAGGGCTGTTTTTCAACAAGTGTGAACTTGAAAGCCCTTTGCTCAAACATTCCTAAATTTGGCACACAGCATGACCAGATTTTCTGCTACATCCATGCCAAATATGATGCTGATCCAAGTCCAGTTTCATAGTTATAATTTTTTTGTTTGTGACACCCTATTTTTTGTCTTGGCTTACAGAATGCTGAATCTAGCTGTCAGCACAATGCACTTGTGCCCTCCCGGGCACCAATAATTTCCTGCACCCAACTGAATCATTTAACTGAGGTAGATAGACTATGACTATGAACTGTTAATGAGAAATCTAACAAAAACACAAAGCAATACAGCAGTTTTAGGGTGAACAAGTAGATATTTAAAAGGTCATACAAGCTTGAAACCAGAGGTGTCTAACTAATAAGCTCAGAGGAAAACAAATTCACCATTTGGTGGGCATGGGTATCGTATCTTTTTTCAGCTCCCAGCTGCATAAATGAGTTCACTGTTAATCAGAAACTATCTTCATCATAAATCCCTCTCTGAACAGGTTTTGAAAAGAGAGCAACATGAATGTCAAGATTATGGCCAGGACAGAGAGGCTGATGCAAATCACTCAGCCCCACTGCTCAGGTTTTTCCTAGTGTGGACATCTTCCAGAAGGGTCAGATGTGCTGATGGCTGGGGGGAAATCTGTCTTGCGAAGCTTAGGTCCCAAAAACACCCGTTTTGTGAGCACGGAGGGAGCTGTCAAAATTGTCGTCTAGCAAAAATCTGTTTGCGAAGCAGGAACCAAACATTGTCCAGCAAAATTCCCCCACAGGAATCACTGTTTTGCGAATCGCTATAGCAATTGCAAATAGCCAATGTCTAGTGAAAAAACTGTCATGTGGGGTAACTGTCTAGTGAGGCAACACTGTAAATGAAAAATTCTGGCCCCGTTAATGAAAGAGGGTAAACTTTCTGAATGACACTAAAACAGTCAAAAAAAAAAAACCACATAAATGACCTCATACCTGTCTGCATATATTTTTGGCATATTACTGTGTTTTAGGCAACCATAAATATAGTAATAGTTTAAGTGTAATTTATATTACCTTTATCATATGAATATGCTCCCTACAATAAGAAATTACAAAACAAGTTATTTCATTTTGGAACTGCTGATCAACTGACCGAAAATGGGGCCTTTGGCATTTTCCCCCAGCTGACCGGCGGCAGCTTCGAAGGCCCGCCGCTCAGCTGGGGGAAAATGTCGGCGGTCGGTCAGCAGTGGCTTTGGAAGGACCCTGAAGCCACCGCCGACCACCGACACTTGCCTTCCGAACTCTCAAAGGGCTTCCCCCCCCCTCGACATTGGAGAAAGCCCTTTGAGAGCTCGGAAGGCTCTCATCCGCGGCAGCGGCAGGGTAGGCAGCGGCAAAGCGATTTTTCCCTATAGGGAACATTGCAATGAGATCGCTTTTGCGATCACAAAAAACGAATCGCTATACGGATTTGTCGTTAAACGAGGTGCTTGTTATGCGAGGCACCACTGTATATAAGTGGCATGCTTTGTTTTGCTTTCTGATAAATTGTAATGGTTGTGGACTTCTTAT